AATGGCTTATCTGTCCATTAAAATAGATATATACATGTATAGAAGAGATAATATGATAAATTGCATTTAACCATCAATTTTCCCCAAAGCATACGTAATTACAAATTAAAAGCAGGAAAATACCTGTGCTATTACTGTGACCTTCAGTGTGACATAATAGACTGCTGGGCTTTTGTGCATTATCTTTGTAGGCCCGTGTGAGTTAAGTCTCATTAGCTTCTCTACAGACCAGAGACTGAATCACAGTGGGTAGGTATGGCTTGTTCTAAGTCATACAGGGGGTGGTCTCCTGACACCTGAGCTGGGATCAAAACAACTGGCCACCTCCACCTTTTTTTTTTTTATACATGGGAATTCTCCTAACTTTGAAGAAATCTACAGGTAATCAGAAAAAAAATCATATAGGTTGTTTAAATACCACAAGAGACTCCTTTATTGTGCTGGATATGTAAATACCCTTACATCTGCAAGCATTTGAATAAATCTGCTTGCACATGTCAGGGAAGGCAGTGCTGACTCCAAGCAGGCCCTGCAAGGGGATGAGCACCCGGAGGCAGGGCTGGCCGGCACGGCTTCGCCCTGCCTGATAAGCCTGGGTTGTTTTTCACAAGGGCTATTCTTGCATCTTTTTCCTATCCCAGCAGAGGGGGAGGAGGAGGGGAGGGAAAAAAAAAAAAAAAAAAAGGCATAAAGCAGCTGCACTGTTAAAAATACCATGTTGGGAGCTTGGTGTTGGTGATGGGGGAGGTCCCCAGTCCTGGAGGGTCTGTATGAGGCAGGTGACAAATCCCTGTGTTTCCCTTTGTAAAATCTGTAAGTGTGACCTACATGGTCTCCTCCTGGCATTTTCAATGTCCAAATATCTAAGGACAATTGATAAACACAATGGTCCCAGTTTTCTAGGGAGAAATCTTGCTCTCACATAGCTCTTAATGCTGGACTGAAGGTAGGAAGGATTTGTTCATATTGTATTGATATTAATCCCTTCAAACACATGCCCCTTTGCTCCCTGCAGATGACTTCGGTTGAGAGTTTGCTGAGGGAGTTTTCTCCTTGCTTGCTCATGCCTTCCTCAAGGCTGCTAATGCAGATAAACCTTTAGGTAAGAGGAAAGTGGTATGCACTCTTATTCTCAGAGTCTAGTTTTGATTGCTTTGAGGAAGAAGTACATATAATCTCCTGGAGTTAAATGAGCAGATAAACACATTGCAATTCAGAAGTTAATGATTGAGTAAATCTTTGGTTCAGTCAAGCAAGACCCAAGAAACTCCAAGATAAATTTCAACCCAGTATTTCTCCCCCCTTCTCTGCAGAAACACTCACTTGGAAGTCAATAAATTATTTCAGGGAGCTGTGTAAATGTGTGGCTCACTGCAGCTTGTGTAACCCTCAGCTCCATGTGGATAAATAAGGCCACTTGGATGCTCATTTTTTCTTCACATTATCCACAGCAGCTTTAAATTTGTCTCAGAGTAGACCAGGAAGGTCAGGTAGCTCCTATTAGGGGAGACTAGTGTCCCTGTCCTTTTTAATACTTTTTTTCATAAAACCTCTTTTTGTAGCAAGATGTGGCAATTGCTAAATGTCAAGTGTGCATCGTGTAGGTGCTATGGGTTACATACCTTGAACTTTCTCTCTTGTGGTTTTATGTGTATTCGCTGGCCTAATCTTCTCCTGCAATCTGCTAAGCACACAACAGCCTTTAAGTTTGCTCAAGTGCAGAGCCTGAACAAAAAGAAGGAAAAAAAATGCTGTGTTTTAGTTCCCCATTTTACAAGGAAACACAATCAGCACATGCAGTGTTTTCTCCCACTAGGACGGATCAGGCTGCAAGTGTGTGGAGATGCTTGTTGCTGAGAGGGAGGAAGAAGAAGTGGGAAAACACAGGTTTGAGGGGGGAAAATGTGCTGGTAGAGCTATATGGAAAGAAATTCCTTTTTGAGAGGGAGAGTTGTTTGGGTGGGAAAAGCTCATTTTTGAGAGGGAGAAGTGTGTGTAAAGCTACCCTCTAACAGTAATAGTTATGTGAGAAGAGATCTTTTTTGAGGCTATGTATTGGGGGCGGGGGGGGGTGGAATTTTTGGATGAGATCTGTGGAGAAAACTGTCCTTGAGAGGGAGAAACACATGGGGTGGGGGGAGGGGGACACTAATTTTGGGGAAGAAATGTGTGTAAAGTGTTCTTTTTTGAGAGGGACAAAGGTGTGGCAAAAGCTTCTTTTTTGAGAGGAATTTTTGTTTCTGAGAGGAAAAATTGTTTTCATGTTGAGTGTGTGGAAAACCTTGCCTTTGCGGGGGAGAGAGAGTTGTGTGGAAGAAAATTCATTTTTGATATTTTTGAGATGTATGGAAAAGCTTTTTTTTTTAGCAGAAGTATGGGAAAACTTGTCTTTGTGAGGCAGAAATTTGTAGAAAAAGTCATCTTAGGAAGCACTTTGTGGTAAAAAATCATTTTGGGGAGGGAATATTGTGGAAAATCTCATCTTTGTGAGCTAAAAGTTGTGGGGAAACTACCTATGAAGGAGAGAGTTGTGTGGTAAAAAGATTCAGTTTTTTTGACAGAGACCTGTATGGGAAAAATACTCATCTTTGTGAGGTGGGAATGTGCGGAAAAACTGCTCTTTTGATAGGCAGATGTGTTAAAAAACAAACAAAAAAAACTCGTTTTTGTGAGGTAAAAATTCGTGGGGAAAAAAAAATTGGTAGGAAGATGTGTGGAAAAGCTCATTTCTGTGAGGTAGGAATGAGAGGAAAAGCTCCTTGTTTTCATAGGGAGACCCAGGCGGAAAAATGCTTATCTTCGTGAGGCAGGAATATACGGAAAGACCATCTATTTGGTAGGGAGACCTGTGCTGAAAGAAAACAACACTCACCTGATCTTTGGGAGGCAGAAACTTGTGGGAACACTGTGTGTCTATAACATATATGCGTAGTATTTTGCACTCGTTCCGTGGCGGGCGGCACCTGCCCGCGGCTCCCGCGCGCCGTCCCGCGCTGCCCTGGGGGGCGGGGCGGCGGCTGCAGGCCCCGCCCCCGCCGCTGGCCCCGCCCCGCCGCTGCCCCGCCCGTCCGTCCGCGCGCGCGGAGGGTGCCGCGCGGAGCCGGGCGCGGAGGGGCGCGCGGGACGGCGGCAGCGGCGGCGGCAGCGATGCGGGGCGACGCCGCCGGCGGTGAGTGCGCGGAGCGGGGCCGGTGCGCCGGCGGAGCAGGTGCCGGGAACAACCTGTTGCGCGTGTTTGTTTTGTTTTATTTTATTTTATTTTTCCCCGCTGTGAAGCGGGGCTCGGTCCGTGGCCGCTGCCCTGCCGCGTTTGTTGTCACCGTTTGGGTGTTTTCCCTGGTCGCCGGAGCGAGCTGAGCTGGGCTCAGGCTGAGGCTGCGGGGGCAGGTTTATTTGCCCTGAGGGTGACGGGGTTGAGGGAGCGTCACGAAGTTCTCCAAGGAGCCGGGCTGAAAAGAGACCTGGAGGTCCCCGTGACTTTTACCTCAGCATGAGAGCCCAGACTATTATTTATCTTTTACCAGGGAGGCTCCAGGACTGGAGCTGTGCAGCTGAGCGCAGCCCTGCGACGGCTGCGGCCTCTGGGGCCCGGCCACGCTGCTGGTTTTGAGGAAGTTCTTAATCCGCCTGTGACTCAGTTTCCTAATCTTCAGAGTGCTTTAATGAAACTTGTCGCACTTGCCTCCCAGGGGTATTATCATCTAATTGATGTGGGTGAAGCGCCTTGGCGAGCCAGGGCGAAAAGAGGGCACCTGCCTTGCTTCGCTCTGCCACCCGGCAGTGGCTGCTAAAAATACGACATGGGTGGGAGAACAGATTAGCCAGAAAACAAGCTGCGAGTCGTGTGTGATGGCATTTGCGCAAGCGCCCCACAGGAGCGTGTGTCTATCTGTAATTAGTTTGAAGCACCTGGGCACCTGAGCTCCCTGGTTCCCTGGATGCTCCGGTTTATTGGCGCCGTCTCTGTGGGACCGTCCCATGGGGTGGCCCTTGCTCCTCAGGAGCAGCCCCGTGCGCCGCTGTCCCCGGTGTGAGGAAGTCGGCAAATGCTGGAGGAGCTGAAGCGGCCCTGAATCACTAGCAAGCAACGTGTTCTCATCCTGCTCAGACCGCATCTGCGCTGGTATCGGGTTTTGTCATCTCTCACTTCTTGTATTGGGGAAAAACACGCAAGAATCTTAATTCTCTACTTATAAGTTGTTTTTAAAATGCGAGTGCTGCCCTTGTGTCTGTCCCTGTTTCAGTCACTAGCTGCAGTGCTCCCCCCGCTGTGGGTCCAGCCCCGCCTCCTGCCCCGGCAGCCTCTCCATTTGGGGCTGATAACGGGCGTTTTGGGGCTGCGGGGTCGTGAGCAACAAACTTCAGAGTACTTAGGTTAGTTCCCTAAATCAGCTGCTGCGAGTAGCGACACCTAGTTACAGCACAGGCGTAATGGTCACTTTTCAGTTTTAAACCCAGGTTTAAAAATTCTCAGTCTTTTTTTCTTTTTTTAATTTCTTTTATTTATTTTTCCCCCTGATGTTTGGCTTCCTCCACGCTGTGGGACAGTTTGTTTTACGGCTGGACTGACTAGCTTGGTACCTGTGCGCTTGGACTGTGTGTTTTATTCGGCTCTGCTCTTCTGCTCTTGTTGCTGTCAAACACATGCCGTTCTCTACATTGGGAAGACCTGTGAAACTGGTACCTGAGGAGCAAAAGCTTTAGAACACTGCTTGGTGCTGGTTAACTCTGTTCTCTCCATAGCACTAGGCAAAAAAATACTGGAGATGCAGTTTATAATGCAGGTCAGAGGGATATGAAGCCCTGATGGAAAGCCGGGAGGAGGTGGCATTTGGATTCCTCTTGCTGTGCTGCCACTTGTCTTTGGCCTGTCCCTCCCATAGAAACGGGTGAATGCTTAGCAAGTTGTGGTAGTGTGATATATAATATGTAAAGTACAGACGTATAGAAACAAGAAAATAATCTCTATTTAAAATGTGGATTTTGTTTCTTGCTCCTAGTGTGTCTCAATGTTGCCCTGGGAGCGGAGGGCAGCCTGACATGCCCAGCGCTGGAGCTGAGGTTGCTCTGAGGCTTGCGAGCAGCCCGGATCGGCCCCAGTCGTGTCCAGGCTCTAGAGGTAAGTGCCATCTGAAAAGATAAGTGTCTCTTGCTCTTCTAAGATATTCTGAAGCAGCAATTTCTTGGGCCATGTCTCCTTCCTTGCACAGGTGAGAGAGCTTGTTTTGGGGATGGAAATGTTCTTTAGGAGACCCTAAACTTGGGGAGGTGCCTGCGATCTGTCCTGCTTCCCTGTGAGCATGCTGCAAGATGCCTGCCTCTTCCAGCACGTACCTTGTATCTGCTCCAGCTGTCTCACTGCTCTGGTATTTTATAATTAGCATCTCGAAAACTCGAGGGAAAACTTTCAAATGCCATGTATTTCCCATTGGGAATCTTCCACGTGGCTGCAAGGTTTGTTGTGAGTCCTTGGTAACGTCTAACCTTCCTCAGGAGCTCCTGATCTCAGCTTAGCTCCCCTCTGTCGCGGCCAAGTCCTGTGCCCTGCCGGCCGAGGCTCTGCTTCCCAGGGGCTCCGTGGAGGGAGGCGAGGAAGGAGCCCCTCTGCTTTGCTTGTCTTTGGGACCACGTTTGGGACCACAGCACGCTGCTGCTGCAGAAAGAGTTCTTCAGAAAGGATGTTGGAGTTGAGGACCTTCTAGTATCCTATATAGCACTGACTCCAGAAAATGCAAATATTCTATATTAAGGATATTAAGTGTCCACTGAATCAGTGGCTGTGCAGATACATAGTTAATAATGTATTATGACACATTCTGGAAATTGCTCAGTTTATTTTTGACATGGGGAACATGACTAAGACTACAACTCTTTCATCTACACATAGTTGCATTTACAAGCAAGTGAAAACATCCCCAAACTGATCTTTAGTTGTATTTAGAGTCTGCCTTAGCTCCATTAAAGGAAAAAAGGAGAAAAAAAAATGACTTGTGCTCAAATGTGAGCTGCTATCTAACCCTTTACCTATGCCAGACTTCCGTTCCTCGAGCATGTTTTTGGTTCTATTTTCCTCTCAGTTTTTGTGAGCAACGTACAGCACTCACAGAGGGGAGGGAAGCCTGGTTCCTTTTCAGGACAGGTAGACACTACCACTGCACTAATTAAAACAGACACTTAAAACTGCTGTTAGTTCAAGTTTGTTTTTATTTCTGTGTCCCAGTAACACTGATGTAAGTAGCATAAAATCTGAACATGAGTTCATTTCTCCTTGCTTTTTTTTTAATCTCCCTAAGCTGTGATGATAAGACCTTGTGAGCAGAAAATATTTCTGAAGAAAAACAGCAGCTCAGAGATTTGCCTTCTCTGTTACTGCCCACTTTGTGTTTTGCTAATTGGCTCAGAATTGGCTACGTATTTGGGATGCGACTCCTTCAGGCAGATAACTTATTGTGTGCTGTTAATATATGCTTTAGATTTTTTTTTTTGTCACCGGCACTTCATCTGCATTGATCTAGACAAATTATGCCAACGGTTCCTCTACGTGCTACATTCAGCCAAGTGGCTATTGCCAATCTGGATTTTTAAAATGACTATGCTCAGTGTTGTAAATGTGTTGTTACAGAGTTCTGACTTCTTAAAAAGCAATTTCTTTGAATCCCCTAGTCCGTCATAAACCCTTCTCAGACTTTTTAAGCTTGCAGATAGATCATTGCTTGTGCGAGAGGGTGTTTAGATTTACGCTTGTGTGTGACTGCTATATCCAAGTGTCAAAATAGGATTTCCAGGGCCATGAGGAACTTCTCTTGGGCATATGTGGAGATTTTTGTAATCATCTTTAAATTGTTTTATGGCAATTTAAATATCTAGAAAATCTGCAGTGAAAAAGTGCTAAGATTTATTTTATGTAGAATTATTTTTAATGCTGAGTGCATCAAAATGGCCCTTACTTTACGTAACATATACAGGTACTGGGTAGCATGTTGGAGCGCTTTTAAATTTTTGAAGATATTTGCTCCAATCTTTCATTCCTGAGTAAAATACCGAGGAGTTCAGCATAAAAATATTATCAGTTCCAGGAAAAAGGTAGAGCAAAAGCTGAAGCAAAAGCAGGATGTGTGATTTTTGGTGTTCTTTTTTTTTTTTTTTCTTCTCCCCTCCTTCCTTGAGAGGACTTGGGTTTCTCCTCTGGCTGAGGTGAGTCCCTTCTGTGTGTGCTGTTTGGAACATGTGGTAGCCTTGGCCCTCAAACCTGTGCACGTGGGGCAACATAGATGGATTTAGAGAAACCAGGATAGCAGGGGAGAAATTCATCATGTCCCACAGTGTTTCTGCTGACACACTTTACAGCTGAAAAACCCTCTTTAGTTCAACACCACCCTTGACAGGCTTTATTCTACAGGGTAGCGAGTGGGTGGTTTGGGTTCCTCTTACTCATCGTGGCAGTTTCCTTTTGCAGAGGATCATCTCTCAAACGTGCTTGTTATCAGGCTGCTTATTATGGGTTTTCTTTGCGCTGTGTCACCTTGTGCTGAGCTGGGGAATAATGTTTAAGTAGCAATTTGAACTCACTAGGAGAAGATTCAGGGCTTGTGTTGCAGGGAGTCCTGGGGGTTGACTTCATGGTATTGAGTGTATAGTTAAGATGATCTGTATTTTTATCCTCCTGTTCGCCTCTCTCCAGCTCAGCAGTGGGTCTGGCACAGTGTGTGCTCCTGAGCCTCCCTTGCTGTTCTCCCAGTGAGAGATACTTCCCAAGCTTGTACAGCACCTCCACAGGTGTCTCCTTGCCTTCTTGAGGGGCTGGCTTTCTGAGCAAGAGGGCTTCCTTCTCTGGGCCTAATTTCCATCCTAATTGCTCTGGAGGAACTACTAATGAAACATGATGCTGGCGTTTGGATAATTGAAATGGATGAGCTCTCTTTCAGATCCAAACTGCTTGCCTGCTGCTCCCTCCTTTCCCTGAGCGCTGAGAATTCCCATGGTTGTCACCTGCACTTTTTATTTTTTTAATCTCTTCAGAAAATCAGGAGTCTGTGTAGGTTATGGCACAACTGTAGGACAGCAGAATATTGAAGTCTGGAGTCATGCTGCAGGTTGCCGAGTTTTCCTTCGTGAGGTGGATGCAAAGCACGGGCGTTTTCGGTGCCTTGGAAGCAGCTGCCGCTTCTCCCGGCGACGTTTGTGTTCATCGGTGTGGCTGGATGAGCGTCAGAAATGTGCGTGCGTTTGGGGCTGGGAAACCAGCTCTGCAAACACCAACTATTGGGGCATGATCTGAAGCTGAGTTAAGTGGATGTAACCGAATATTTCATGCTGTAATTGCCCTCTGAAACGGTGCCTCGGTGCTGAGCCAACATCAGAAGGTGTTCTAGCAAATGCACTAGAAAGAATGAGCTTCGTGTGCTGAACTACGTATATCCCGGTAGCAAACCTGTTTGTTGGGACAAAAGCCACCCTAGTACTATTGTTCTGATGGGATGTGTGTGTGAGGGGGAGAGGGATTAAGGGTGGTTGATTTTATTTCCTGGAAGTGAATAACATACATTTTTTCAGTGTATAAAGCGGATATTACTCAGTTTGTGACCTGCTTCCTAGGAAAAGCGTCTTGAAGTGAGGATTGGTCTAAATCTGTTGTCTGCATTGCTGCCACGCAGTATGATGTGATGCTGTCTTGCCCCAGCGGCACGCGCTGTGCCACCGAGTATAAATAACCGTGCATGTTGTGCCGCCACGTATAAATAACCGTGCGTGTCAAGGGTAATTTGAGACAACGTGCCAAATATTTCATGAGGCGCTGCCTCCTGTCCTGGGTACCTGGCACCCCTTTGGGAGCAGGTGCTGGAGCTGCGGCTGCAGCGGAGGGGTCGTGAGTAAGGGAACATGGGCCGGGCTGAGCGGCAGGGCTGCACGAGCAGCGCAGCGGGACAGGTGCCTCTGACTTGGAGCTTGGAAGCTTCAGTGAGGGATGGGAAAATATGTTAATTTTTTTCCGTTAAAATATTTTAATTTTAATGCTGACCGCCTTAATGCACATTTCCTATTCCCATTTTTTTTAAAGGGGAGGCAAAAATCCCTCAACTATCAAGATACCAGAAGGGGAAGGCAGTTTCTTCTCCCTTAACTTGCTCCTGCAAAAGTGCTAAGAGCAGGTGTATTTTTTTTTCCTTTCTCTTTCTTTCCTTTCTTTACACCAAGAAAAGGAGTCCTTTATTTTTTCCTGTACAGATCCATGTAGAGGGGTTTCAGTAATACTTCTGGTGGCTTTTTATGGTAATTGCAGAAGCTTGGTAGCATCTTAAGGCCCTCTTTATGCTTGCATTTAAATACATGTCATGGAAGGGGTGTGTAGCCCCTACTTTATTGTTTGGCTTAATGTATGGACCGATGCTATTAGTAACATGTTTACAGAAGCCTCTTCAAATTGAGTTATGGAGTCAGAATATCTGTTTCCCACATACAGTGCATTTATGGTGCAGTAATACAATGCAAAAGGGATTGTACAGCTTTTTAAGGGCAAGGTGGAACACTAATATGTTGTTCACAACACTTTTTGCCTTATAAAGGTAGGCCCAAGGTGCAACCTGACCTTCAATAAAATAGACAAATGACCTGACACTTGTTTTTTGACCCAGCTTCTTTTAAAGGAGCATTTATATGAACCGTTCAGATGGCCAAATAAAGTATGTAGTTTCATAAAGCAATGCCAGTTTGAAACTCTTGACCTTTGAGATGAAATTTTCTTTTACTTAGTTTTTGCATGTCAAGTTAAGCATTCAGAGGGTTGTAACTATAGAAGGTGGTAGGATGCCTCTTCCCCAAAGGATTTGGGCTCCTTTGAAATCTCAGCCTGATACAACCCTAAGTATCTACTTCTGGAAAAGAGCTGTGTGCTTAAGTGATGCTTTTAGTTCACCATTCTTTAAGGTAAATAAAGGAATGGCATATAATGTGAAGCAGGCCTGTATTTGCATCCAAGTTTTCATTTAGAAGTAAATATTGGTGCAAGATATCACAGAGTTTTCACTCAAGTAATTTAGTACTTGGAGAGCCTGCAAACTATTGCTATCCAATTTTGGGGGGACCTCTCCAGAAGTAGCACATAGACAAGGAAAGAATTGC